TTACAAAAGTGCCCAAAATAAAAGTGTTTATAACACTGTGTAAAGCAAATAAATATCTGCCACTTTGTCTTTGAAAATATATGTTGTTTATTGTGTGGGTGTAAATGTGCTTTGGTCAATTTCTATTATTATGTTAAAGGATATTCAAATTAGGCCGCCACAGTGGTTTAAATTCCTGGGGAAGAACACTGTGTTATGTACAAAGTGCTGACTGCTGATTGGTCAAGTGTATGTTGTGTACAAAGTGCTGATTGCTGATTGGTCATTGCGTAATGGTTAACATGCTGACTATGAATCAAAAGGTAGAAACTTACTCTTTTTTCAGATCTTCAGCTTCAGTTCTTGATGAGTTTAGATCTCTTTCTAAGTCATCTAACTGTTGCTCGTATTGGTCTTGTAATTGTGCTATTTGTCTCTCTTTATCAGCTGCCTCAGCCATGATATGCAGACTGGTGTCTGTAGAAACACTACTAGCAGTGGCCAGGAAACCCTGTCCCAGCCATGGTAACAAACGATTCTTTAGAACGTCTGCACCACCATACATACCACCTTTGAGGAAAGAGTAATAAACAAAATTTGGGTTGAAAATCTAAAAGTATGTCCTTTAATTATATTTAAATATGCCAAGGGTGATTTAGGTTCTGATTTTGAAAACAAAAAGTAAATATGTGTACAATCCCAGGGACTAACAGCTAACCCTTTAAATATGCAATCCAAGGGATACACAGCTAACTCTGTAAAGTGTGTAATCCCAGGGATTGACAGCTAACACTTTAAAGTGTGTAATCCCAGGGATTGACAGCTAACCCTTTAAAGTGTGTAATCCCAGGGATTGACAGCTAACCCTTTAAAGTGTGTAATCCCAGGGATTGACAGCTAACACTTTAAAGTGTGTAATCCCAGGGATTGACAGATAACCCTTTAAAGTGTGTAATCCCAGGGATTGACAGCTAACACTTTAAAGTGTGTAATCCCAGGGATTGACAGCTAACACTTTAAAGTGTGTAATCCCAGGGATTGACAGATAACCCTTTAAAGTGTGTAATCCCAGGGATTGACAGCTAACACTTTAAAGTGTGTAATCCCAGGGATTGACAGCTAACACTTTAAAGTGTGTAATCCCAGGGATTGACAGCTAACCCTTTAAATATCATACCTTCTGCAGCACACATATTCAGCAAATTAAACAGCTGTCCTTGAAGACGTGAATTCAGTTCAATTAACTCACAGCAACTACCAACATTCTGGTCACATGTATTGATCTGAAATAAACAAAAACTGGCTTAGATATTGAATCAGTAAGCACTGTGTGCTAGTAAATTTGATGACATAAGGAATAGACAATATATCTCATTATTATGCAATAAACAATAGAATTTACCCATCCATGAAACACTGTAACGAAGTGTTCAAAAGTGTTATGGAAGTGTTTGAATGTCCTTATTTTGTAATTGTGCACTATGTCATGTTCACATCACATTAAAACACTTTCCTTTGTTTATTTTATTTTAGTGTGTATTGGAAATAGAATCCCATCACCGAACACAAAACTTTCTTTGTTGTGAAGTTACCATTTCAGGCTGTTATCTCTTATAATATGAGTATGCATGTATGGCAATGCACAAACCTCCACTATGCATCGGTTGCTATGGTTACTGTTCTGCCTTTCTCATATTACACCATTCAGTGAATATATTAAATATTTGTTTTGATTAAATTTTAATATCAAAAACCTATAGTTCAGATCAGTCACATGAGGGCGTGAAAAATGTACTCGTAGCTCTGGTCATTGTGTGTCAATTTAAAAAAAAAAAGAATAAAAGCACATGATGATCATGCAAAATTTTCAAAAAAAAAATGACCAGTAACTTTTTTTATTTTTTCATTTCATGTTTTTTTTAAAAGCACACTGGTGGCGCTATAACTGTTGAACAGTAATGTAGAGTGTGTTTTTATTGATTAATAAATGTAAATATTAAACACATGACCCTTTAAAGTGGAATGTTACTACAGTATGAGTGACAATTTAGTAAGTAATCCCAATAAACAATTAAGTAGTTTTTTAATCTTATGAGATATTACAATCCCATATTCTGTGAAACCAACACTTTTTCTTTTTGTTGGATTACACATTAGTCCACGATTATCAAACCATGAACCCAGATGGGAATATTGTGATAGCACTTTTAGCTGCTGGAAATATTCTTAGCAGGCAATGCCCCCTAGTTTACCTCATTTTATAACAATACACAGCACATTTGTGACAGATTGATATTTATGACATCTCCTCAAGTAAAAACAATTTCTCAATTTAGAATACAACTAATACTTTGCAATACTAGTAACTTCCTTTATTGCTTTGCAGCTACATTAGAAATTAGCATAACAATAGCCCTCAGAATATAGTGAAACTTGCACAATAGCAGATAACAAAGGATTGTGACTGGCCTGGGATTGGATAATACAACACAGGCAGTGCTTGTTATTCTTTACCCTGGTTTATTGTACACAGAGTTTACAACTGAGTGGTCTTGAATAGACTCATGATTGGTCAATGAATAAAATCCTACCTTAAAGAGATTTAAAAAGTAGGGTAGTACACATGCATTTAGCAACTTTCTGTAATTCATACATACATGTTAAATCCATATAACAACTAAGAATCTTGCCAAATCAAATCTTATTAAATCAAATACATGGAATAGCATTTTGAAAAGCCGTACATGATAAAGATATAGGTAATTAGCTTGTTGTTAAGTTGGTAACATAGACATTATATAAGAACCCAATAACATATTTCATTATAATATCCAAAAAATGATATAATAATAACCATTCTTGGCATTTTGGCTTGATTATAATTATTTGGGTTTGATTTTGCCTTGATAAATATGATAAATATATAAATATGCTTACTCTTATTTATATCAATTTCATGTAAAGCATAATAGTAATTTCTATATTCTTTTGACTACTAGTATTCATTTTGTTCAGATGTAAATACCAACAAAAGGTTAAAAGCAGCAGTCCACTTTGCCTTAATTTTGATGAGGTGGTAAAATAGTTTAAGATTACTACATTTCTTATAGTAATGACATTCAACAAATTTTGACTGACTGTCAACTGCTATGTAGGATTTCCACTCGTTAAACAATGACAATACTCTTTTATCTTCAGTACTGTATATGTGCACTGAACGAGGAATTGTCATCACTATGGCAACAAGAAGGGTAAATAAATGTCACCACCATACAGTAGTCATTACTGTTTCCATAGCAACCAGTTGAGTATGTATTTAAGGTGTACAACTCCCCTGAAGTTGACATGAAACAACGACATGCACCATTTTCCTAAAACCAGGATCAATCTAAGCCTAGCAGCACAACTATGCCTGTATGTCAAAGCAGGCAGCCTAATAATGTAATATCTGATAAACTTGTCCTGAATGTCTGTTTTTTAAGATGATGCATTCTTCATATAAACAAGGCATCGTCGTAGCAACACTTCTACCATGGGCGTGAAGAGCCCTGTTATCAAAAACTGTCCAAGTTATGATACAATGATAATCACTATGATACTACCTTCTAAATGTGTCGCTGACCTTACCTATAAATCACTGGCAAATGTGCATATCAAATTTTGGCACAGATCCAAATATCAGTGCAAATTTTATACTGCTTATTTAGTAACAAAATATGTTTTTGTCAATTATCAATATTTTTTTTTTTAATATGGTAACAAAACAACTATTGTGTCCTCACTAAGTTAAAACTCCATTAAAATTCCATTTAAGTAATCACAAATAATATTTAATTTAAAAAAATAAATTTGATTATCATGTCATCTTGATAGTGGTTAGTCATAAAGTAATCAAAGATGAGAGATTGAATGTTACGATTGCTACAACAACGGATACAACTTTATTTTTGTCGTTTCGCTTATTACACATAACTTCCTTTAAATCTGTATTGAATTTAAATGCCCTAAGTGTAACAGGAATATCACATAGCGGCACAATTTCCTTTCAACAACACGTTTCGTATTTGCAGCCACCCAAAAGGGACATGCATTCAGTTAACAAGTTTGATAGCATTCAATTTAGTCATATTATTCGCGCCGTTATCAAATGTGGCGATTGTTATAAAACTGTTAGCAACGAGACGATTGTTTTACACCACTGTGGAAACCAGGCACGCTAATACTCTTGGCAACCGTGTGGGGTACCAACGCAACTTGAAGATTTTTACCTTTAATACCACTAAAAATATATGAAAAATTCCCAATTTTCGAATATGAGGTGCATGAATAACTGACAAGGCGTGTTTTATCTTACCATATAGTTGCTGTTCCATCTTTCTACTTTTTCTTGCAAAAGAGTAAACGCACCAGTGGTCGCCAAACGTCTCAGGGAATCAGCCATCTTTACTACTGTATAGACGCTACGCATGCGCTGTGCTATTTGTTGAAAGATTTCACGTTCAACCATTCGAAACGGGGGTGGAAGGTACGAGCCCATGAGCCCAAAGTAAGAGACGCTTAAAATAGTTGGACAGCGGCCAGTAAGGCAAACAGATGAGAGGTAACTAGCGGGTCATACCAGTGCGACCACAAGCATTGCCATGGCATTTACAACATTGAAATGACGCGATTTAATCTATTCATTTAATTGTTCTACAATGTTATTTCAGTATTTGGCTGCAGGCCTTCGAATGTACGCAGATGTCAATGTTCTTAATTTTATTTAACCACTGACGCTTCTGCTGCAATGAACTATCATTCTGTTGTGACGTCATAACAATAAAAGTTGACAGGGAAGGGCTATTCAAGGTCTAACAATAATACCATTAGTATATTGTCTTATCACAAAAGTATAATGTCTTTCAACAATACACAATTCTGTTTTGATGTTGGTTTGTTTGTATGTTTCCCTTTTTTCACGTCACGGCAAAATTGTTCTTTTTTATTGTATTACACGAATACAACTTACAGCTTTATGATTCGTAACTAGGCTTGGTGTTATAGATTATAATGAATAACTCGAGGTGCTATCCGGTTCATTCATGGGGTGATCCCCAAAGATGAATGCCTGAAGGCCATAGCCGATCGTCTGGCTCTCTCAACACAAGTCCGCCTTGAAAAGACCCTACTGTGAGGTCGGAATTCTTGTGTATTTTTTAGCTGATATCCATGGGTGTTTTCGCGTTTCAATATTATCGAATTAATATGAAGAAATATACCCCATCATTAAATTAATGACTTTCTGTTAATACTGCTTGCCAACGTAAAGTTGTACATATAGTTACTATGGTTACGAATGCCAACATAAAATTGTACTTTAACTGTCTCTGTAATAATTAGTATTTAATATTTGTTTTAACCGTGTAGTCTTATTTATTGGTTGTTTAAAAAAATGACTATGCATTAATTAATATAATTATCTCTGTGTGCCGTTTTAATTCAGACTCCCTGGACCGTGACTAAAGGTATCAACTGCGCATGCTCACAACCACCCGTCACCCATAAACACAATACTAGTATCTATGATAATCAAGACAATCCGATAACATCCGAACATATATCCAACCTTTGACACCAACTTTTTATACTATTTTGGAATGGTGACATGCTACTCCCCATCAAATGTATATGCGATAAAATAAATTAAGAGAAAACAACTTTTCTGAAATGAAGTAGCACATTAAATTGTTTGAAATTATTCGCATAATTCGTACTTTGTTTCTAAAGCAAAAGTGACTGAAGCCAACAACTGTTTAGTACGTGTCAGATCTCATCTTTTGAAGATCCTAAATCACGGGTTAATGGTCAATAATCGATATTACGTAACTCAGCCTTTGAATATTCAAGGTTTATTAAATGTGGACGCAAATATGCTCCCTTCACCCCTGACTGTTGACATATCCTAGTAATATTGAAGATTACTTCGTTGCATGGGCGCATTTAGCCAAGCTGTAGTGACGTCCCGAATAGCAGCCACCAAATATGGCACGAATATTCGATATAACGTATCACGTGACATCATTTAACCTTTTGACAGTTTGGATGCTCACGCTTAACAAAAATAATACAGTGAAAATGTCATTTAAAAAAGTCACATAAAAGTCTCATAAAAGAAAAGCAATATCATCCTGAAAAGAAATCCAACTCAAAACTGGTGAACAAAGTATATTTTTCACCAAGTTGTCGCCCAAACTTTCTGTGAAATCCTTAATTTTATTTATTTATAAGGTGGCTCGAAAAGTCGAATGGGCGAGTCCAGACGTTCTGTCCAAAACACCAATGTATGTACAATTATTTTGTTGCGATCATTTTAACATTACTTTGTTCTTATTTCCCGACACGTCATATCAACTATTTGTTACTAGAATAAATTTATATTGACTACAAGATCGGTCTTTCAATTCAAATGTTCAGTCATTTTAAATGAAACCACTCTCTTCCTCGCCTAATATTGAACTAGTCGTCATAGCCATGTGTATGTGGGAGGCGAAAAAGGAGTATATTTCCGGGGGGTCAACTCCACCTATAGCACAGCAATCTTTACGGGTTTTTTGTTTGTTTCTTCGGGAAAGTGTTATATTATACCGTAAAACAATTTACCTCCCCCGCACAACACGTTTGACTGTCGCTGTGCTAGAAAGGACCGAAGCCTCAAAGGGCCATAGGAGTATTTCGTAATACATGTAATAATGAATATTTTGACAGCAAATACATGAACATCAGGCCCGTAACCAGGATTTTGCTTGGGAAGTTTCTTTTTACTCTCTGAGGGACCAACTCGCACAGAAGGCGTAAGCTTCTGGTGGGCATGCTCCCCTTGAAAATTTTGAAATTTCTGAAATGGCATTTCCTACCTTTTTGAGAGGATTTCAAAGGAAATATCAGAGACACTCACATAACTGCTCCAGTTTCTGTGAGTGCCGTGATCACTTCCTCCTCCGAACGTTTTACTGGCTTTGATGCCACATTACAATTACATACTTGTAATTGCTCCTTTTAAGCCCGGTGTCAGACGAAAAATCTTCCGTTTGCTAAATCTTTCGGGTAAGGTCGCAGTGAAGTTCTTGAATTTTTCCGTGATTTAGTGGATTCTTGTAAATAATATGCATGGTTCAATGAAAACAAATCTCTGCTGTTGGTGCATCGGCAGATGGCAAAGTGGGGAGTTTTGGCCACGAAAGTTTTGGACACACACTGGCACATGTTTTATATCTTGTTGATTGAATATTTGAAGTTCTATAAATTTATATTTAAATTATTTGATTCATACTTATAACTCGTACATTGCAAGTATTTACATTCGAGAATTATATGCCTTTCCAGGACTAGTTTAATTTGCAGTCTGTAAGTTTGATACTGATTTTCGAAAATAAAAATGTTTTAAAGATTTACATCGACAGACGCACCAGACGCATTTTAACAAGTTTATATATTTATTGGTTATGTATGTATAATAACACATCGACATTTTGTAATCGTATATTAAGTTGTTCATACATATAATTGTATTTTAATACTACCTTATACTAGTAGCTTCGCGGGGAGTAGGGCTTTGTCGCAGTAACTGGTCCTTTCATCGTTGTTGAGAATTAAAGTTTTTATGGTTCTTTAACAACTTGCGCTATTCTGGGAATACCATCCTTAGAAGCTATTAATTTTCCCTTATGATTTGTGCAGTTGCTCTGGCAGAAGTTTCAAAATAAGACCCATGCTCTGATAATGCCCATAGTTTAAAAGACCAAGATCATTATGATCTCATTGGTGTTACAAAGGATGGTTGAATATTTTTTATTAAAATTAATAATCCCCATAACCGTTTTCCAATATAGATAAATTATAGTACGTAACAAATATATGAAATATTAATTATTTTATTATATAAACTTTACAAAAGTAATCAATATTTTTCCTTGGTAGAATGATGTGTAACTTCATATGGGAATCCCGATAAAGTTCACAGCTGGCGATTTAGCAATACCCCGGGTCAGAGATAGTCAACTTCTTGTGAATTTAATTACCTAACGTTTTTAAGGTTCACGTGCTGCAAGTTACAGAGCACGTACCTAAGCGGTCGTTTCTCGGCAAACAATTAAGCCAATGCATATTTGATGTCGAAATCGCGAAATTCTCCGTTTTTACGCAATCTGGAAAGTTCGAATTACTAAATGAAGTACAGGACGACGAAGCTGAAATATTCAAGAACATACAAAAAATTATATCTCGAAAGTGAATATTTGTGGTGTATTTTAAGTCTAACCATGGAGTTATAAACCTCCATGGTCTAACCAAACCGGAAGTAGAAATTTACACTAAATATCTAAGCATATTTTAGTATAAGGTAGTAACAACTTGTCAATGATTATGGGATTATTTGTAAGCATGAGATTGTTATGTGAAGTTCATTAATGCAATACTGTGTGATGATGCTATCTTCAGAGCCTAAGTGATTCAGACTATTGGCGATCCACGCTCCGCTAGGATTGCTGTCATGGATTTGTTTTCGCGTATCTGTTGACCGACTTAATTAGCTGATTATTAGCGAATTGCGTGTTATGTCTGTCATCGTTTAGGCCTATTTGAAGTTTTGGACGGAACTTGGCTCAGTGATTTGGAATTAATTACGAGATAACCGTCGCTATTCTGACTACTCATTCTGACAGTTGGTATCCGTAGTTATTAATGTAGTGAACGATTAATCAAAAGATATAACGTGTTCAGTACTTAGTGTGATTGGCTTTATGATTGAAGGTTACGCCCTAGAGTCTTTTTACTGTTTTGTAATTGGTTAGAGTTTTGAAAATGAATAAAGAGAGTTTGAGTTGGTCTTGGCAAGTACTCCACGATAGACGCAGTCCTGGAGAGACTTGGGGCGAGCCTTGACGCAGTCTAAAAGAGTCTTGGGTCAGCCTTGCGATAGTCTTGGGGATTTTTCCCCAGGGCGCCGTGTCTTATAGAGTGCTCGAAAGACCGACTAAGACAAGAGTTGAAACGTATTTCGTTGTGTGCGTCTTATTTGACTGTAAAGTATAAGTGACTTTCCCGATCCCGCACCTCAAGGGGACAAGATATAGAGACGAGACGAGATTCCCCCCTGACAGGTGTGGAGAACCCAGAGGGAGAAGAATTTCCCCCCTGATATTGCCCTTAAAATCACTTGTGTGTGTGTGATTTCCAGTGTTTTCACGTATTAATTCTTCTGTGCTTTTTTTGGCTTGGCCGATTTGGCTCAAACTTGGCAGGCAAGTCACACCTTCACTCTAGTTAGGTTGTAAAATCTGAAAACAAATTCTGGCCCACCGTTTCCATGGTAACAACAAAAAAACTGATTTTTTGAATACCTTCGCGCCAAATGTATCACACTCTACATTTCTAGGATTAAAAAGCACGGACGTAGCTCATTCTACTCAGCTTGAGTGTGGGCACAAATTTCCTTTGTTTATTTTTATTACCGAGAACTTTTCACCAGCAACGAATTTTAACTTCTCTGTGATTGTTTTGGCTTGGCTGATTTTGTACATACTTGACAGGTAGGTCATACCGTCACTGATTGGAAAAAAATCCTGGGCCACCACTGTCATTGCAACAGCCAAAAACTTTTTTTTGAATACTTTCACCC